CAATCTTTGACTCATACCGCAGCCAGTAGTTAAAGAGGGGTGGGGGAGAGAGAGTGATAAGCAAGGATGATCCATTTAGCAAGGACGTTAAAAAGTTTAAAAAGCATATTCAACGCTTCTGCGTTCCAAGCTCAAAAGTGCCAAAATTTTCGTCAATTCTGTATATTTGGGCAGTTAAGTAACTGGTGATAATGAAGGATACTGATTACTGGAAGGTTACGGCTGTTCTCTATATATGACTAGCTGTTGAATGTAGCTTGACTGTTAAGGAATGGGCCTGGCTTGCGGCCAGGATCCAAAAATTGTCGAGAATATATGCTCATGGGTGAGACATGCAGTAGAGGTGATGCACTTCGTATTCTATGAGATGTTCATGACAATCACATGCTTTCCAGATTCCCTTCTTCGCCAAAATGACGCCCAACATCACTGATATTTGTGCCATAGCCTCTGCAGCTAAAGTAGGTGGTGCAGATGGAGTTACCGCAACGAATACGGTAGCCAGTTTGATGCATATGAAAGCAGACGCTACTGCATGGCCAGCAGTTGGTAAAGAAAAGAGGTAAAAAAGGAGGAAATGAAGGTTGCAAAGGCTGGCTTCTATTGCTAAAATTTTAGGACAACATATGGGGGCATGTCCGGATCGGCAATTCGTCCCATAGCTCTCAGAGCTGTTTCTGCTATATCAAGAAAACTGAAGGGATTCCCAATCATGGCTAGTGGAGGTGTAGAAAGCGCTGAGACTGCGCTGGCTTTCCTTTACGGTGGAGCTTCACTTTTACAAGTAAGGATATTTATACCCGAAGTCCTTATCTGAATCTAACTTCTAATTTATAGGTTGCATCTGCCATACAAAACCAAGATTACACTGTTGTGGAAGATTACTGTACTGGCCTACGAGCACTCCTCTATCTCAAAGCAGCTGAACTCGAGGGGTGGGATGGCCAAAGCCCTCCCATCAAAAAACATCAAAAGGGGAAGCCTATTCTGGTCGAGAATGCGGTAGGCTAAAGTAGACTTATGAAAGTCCACTAATGCCTTCATCTCTTAGGGGATACCCAACTTTGGAAATTACCGTAAGCAGAGGGAAAAATTGGAACAGCATATACTTACCAGAGGCCCAGTATCAATGTCTGGTAAATGGACAACTCGTCCGGATTTAGCCGTCGAATATGTTCCTTCAGTTCAGGCACGTTTTGAATATTATATCTAGGTTGGTTGGCTGGCTGGTAAACGTGCAACAAATTTGTTTCGCAGAGGGATTCCAAGTAAAAGCGTTTGCGACTGCACATTCTAATATTGAGCAACCATACCGCTTCAGTCTTGAACAGATCGGCACAAAGTCCGAGTTTTTCGAAACTGAAGTCCTTTATTTTGCAAGAAATACGATGTCCCCATTGAGGTGAACAAAGAGAAAAAACCGAATGGCTAGAATGGCTAGAATGGCTAGATAG